CTAGGGCATTTCATTTCACCGGTCATAGGTGTGCAGAGAAGTTTATGACCGAGTTTAGGATAGATGGTCGTACTATCAAGAGGGGCAAACTTGTTTACATATCGGTCATCTAGTGCCAATCGAGTGATCTAACTTTTCATCATCGCTAGGATTGAGTGGCGAGGCAAGTTGAGTGGCTAATCCTTTGGAAAATGATTGTGAAAATGCTAACACACATACACATGGTGGTGTACATTTGGTGGTGTTGGCACATTTACAAAGGAGATAAAGTCGGAGTTGATGTGGATCAACTCGGCGATGGAACGGAGGCGAGAAAGGTTCGAAACTCCACCAGGGGAGTGTCCGCTCGTAGAGTGCAGATAGTCCGACGGTGACACCAGCGCCCTATTTAGAAAAGACAAGGTTTCATAGTGTGCACTGGACACTGGTCACGCAGTGACTGGATGTTGGGGTCCTACGCCCGGTCAGTGGCAGTAGTGAGCGCACGGTCTCGGTCTCATGACCGAACGCTGGCGTGAAGAGTGACCAGACGCTCAGGGTCTACGTCCGGCCAGTGCTGACATATGGTGACATAGGCAGCGCTGGAGTTAGGCGCGTGCGCACAAAATTGATCGAACGCTGGTCTGTGTCCGGTCATGGTAGACCAGACGTGTCCAGTCGCAAAATAGAGGCTCGGGGAGCTCTCTAGAAATGACCGGACTCAGGCGCTGCAGCGTTCGGTCATTCACTGTGCAGCGTCCGGTCGCAACTTGACCATTGAGATTGGGTGGCTCTGGTTGAACGCAGAGCAACACGTGGACGGTGTAGAGCGACTAGACGCTAGCAGGGTGCGTCCGGTCAAACTGACCGGAGCGTCCGGTCGTCCTGAAATTTGCCCAGTGAAGGGATAACGGCTAGTTTAGCCCATGGGGCTATAAATAGAAGGTGGTCTCGGCCATGACTTGAGCTGAGCACCTTGGGGGACTTTGTGTCCATCCTTGAGAGTGCTTGGGAGCCCTCCATCTCACATATATTTGATAGTGATCATCCAATTGTGTGAGAGAGTGATTCTAGTGTGATTGCATCGTGAGGTTACATCGAGTGACACTAGGTGATCGAGTTGCAAGCTGGTGGTGCTTGTTACTCTTGGAGGTTTCCACCTCCTAGATGGCTTGGTGGTGGTCTCCATCGAAGCCCGCAAGAAGCTTGTGCGGTGCTTCGAAGAAGAGCTTTGTGAGGGGCATTATGCTCGCCCCGCGGGAGCCGCAAAGAGCAACTCTTGTTGAGCAAGCATGTGAACCTCGGGAGAAAATCACCGTATCAACCTTGTTCTTCCTGTTGGTTTGCAATCCTCTTACACATGCTTGTGATTACTTTTATATACATTGTGCTTGTGTAGTTGCTCTTGTAATTAGTTAGCTTGTGTAGCTCACTAGTTACCTTCTTGCTTGTGTAGCATAGAAGTAGCTCCCTTGCGTGGCTAATTTGGTTAGTGTAACCTTGTTAGTCACTTTGCTTAGTTTGTGTAGCTAAGTATTTGCGCTCTCTAATTTAACATTGGTTGCCTTGTTATTGAGCATTGCTAGTGAGCTTAGTTGGCTTTGTGCTTTTGCTTACTAGCATGTGTAGGAGCTCCCTCATTACTTGAAATACTAGTGGCATAGGTTTGTGTGACCTTGCTCCTAGAATTGGTTAGGTGAGCTCTAGTTAGCCCGGCACCTTTGTTGCTTAATTAGGATCTTTGCAAGGTGCTAGAGAACATAGATAGAGGAGTGTAGTCTTGGCTAGACCGATAGTTTTAACTCTGCACTTGTTTCGGTTAGCTGACGCGATTAAGTTTTAGAAATGACTATTCACCCCCCTCTAGTCGCCATCTCGACCCTACAGTTGCATCACTCCACCACCCTATTATGCTGCGGTGTAGAGGTGCCGCACCACGCTACAATCGGCACAGTATTCACATAATTCCAACAAGGTGAACTCCCCTCCTCGGTCCGTCCTCAGCACATGCGGCCTCTCTCTGGGTCCATCCTTAGCACGTGCAGCCTCTTTCTGGACTCCGCCTCCAACGGCACCTGGAAGTTCTTGATCGCTATTACCACCTCATCCACTCTCACCAGCAGCTATGACCACATGTAGCAGCTACGATCGTCCACCAGCAGCAGGAAGTTGTGGTGCCGTCCATGCGTCATCGGGGTGATTGGCCCTTAGAGGTCGACGTGCATGAGCTCGAGGTCGTTGGCATAGTACTTCACCATTTTTGGGAATGGCAACTCCTCTGCTTCCCCACCACACAGTTGTTGCATAGCTCACCAGCATACTTGATGAGCGGGAGGCCATGACCATCTCCTCCCGTGCATGGCTCCCTAGCGCGTTGAAGATGAGATGCCCAAACCGGGCATGCCACATCCATGGCTCATCGTCCTACCTCGCCGTCAAGCACACTAACTGCACTGGACGAAGGTCTAGCACATACAACCGGTTCATGGAGTGATTCACTTTGGCAAGGAGACGACACTCATAGTTGTGGATGCGTAGGACGTCATTGTCGATGAGGACTTGGCATCCGCAATCGTTAAGCTACCCGATGCTAACGATGATCGACTGCAGCCCTCGATGCTCGCCATTCAGGAACCTGAAGAGGATGGTCCTGTGCCGGTGATGTCAACCATTGAGCCATCGCCAAACCATCTTCGCGAATGCTTCTTTGTTGCCGATCATGTAGTTGCTGGCGCCGGAGTCTAGGTACCACCTCTATTCCATGTCACTACATTCACACCCGAGGTGGACTTAGACGCGCGATTTGTCAAGGCAAATGCTCTGCTTCGCCACCAACTCTGGCTTCACAACATCGTTCAGCGCGCACACCCGCGCCATTAGGAGCACTGGCTCATCGTCCTTCGCCTGCGGATGAGCTTGTTCCTCCTTCACCGGCTCCGGTTCCTCCACAACATCGTCCAGCGTGCACACCCACAATATTAGGAGCACTGGCTCATCATCCTCCGCCTACGTGAGATGAGCGTGTTCCTTCTTCTTGGAATTCTTGCAATCCTAAGCCCAGTGGCTAGTCTTGATGCACTTACGGCAAGTGTCATGGTCAGAGACGCACGACACATCACCGCCGTCCTTCTGTTGTGGTGGTTTGACATGGTACTTCCCTACGCCACATCGACAGGACGACCTGGAGGAGCCCTCCCTAGGCTGCCACTTGCGCATGTGAACCGCCCACTCCTTGGCCCGCTGCAGTTTGTCGCTGGTCATAGTTGTTGCCAGGGCTTCAACCCGCACATCCACTGCCTTGAGCCGCCCTATCACATCGTCGATGGTGAGCGTGGATAGGTCGATCCGCGTCTCAATTGAGAGCGTGATTTGCGAATACTTGGCGGGCACCACTCGTAGGTACTTGGAGATGACGTCCTCCTAGTCGATGGTAATGCCAAGCAAGACGAGCTAGCTGACTAGCGACTACAAGCGGAGCATGAAGTCCTCCACCACTTCCCCCTAGCAAAACGCGAGGGCCTCATAAACTAGTCGAAGTTGCTGTGCCTTCGCCTTCTTCACGTTGTCTAAGCCCACGCACATGGCCTTGACGGCATCCCGAGCTTGTTTCACGGTGTCCTTGCTGTCGAACGACTCCACGTACTCCGGTCGAACGGCACGCAGGATCACACCATGGCAGTGCAATCCTCATCTTCGTCCTCGATGCCGATGTCGATGGCGCACCACAGCTTCCGCACCCTCAACATCACCTCATCAGCACCGCCCACTCACCGTAGTTGGTGTGGATAAGAACAGGGTACTGAGCGCCGCCAGCCTCCCTCACCGTCCGCTGCACCGTGACTTCCCATCGTGTTTGTGACTGGGACTGCCGTGGTGAAGTGTTGGGCGGGGTCTTGGGAGGTGTCATGCTGCCGCTGCCATTTGCACCACCTGGCATCGCCGACGATCTCCTTGGCTCTAATACCATTTGCTGGTAGCCGACAACCCTACAAAGGTGAGCAGCAGCTCAGTCACACACACTGAATTAGGCTGGAGGTAGACGAGAGGAAGTGAGAATAGAGCACACAGACGCATACAAGTGCAGAAGTTGAACTAAACTGCCTCCAACCCATTCTATTGCATAGAATATATATACAACTTTAGGATTGGTGAGAAATTCACCAACTACGATGCTGCTAGTACCTACTTCAACTACAGCCACTACCTGCTACTACTGTTGGCCATACATCATCCACTATTTTGGCACATACTACTACACTAATAGAAAGGACAACAGAGTTGACCTATTATCTGACTCTGCTGCAACAACACAACAAGAACAAGCAAACAGATTACCTTACATGGAGAACGTAACAATATAGATATTATTCAATTTGGTATTATTTAAACATGTGCAGGCACCGAATATCATTTGGTTCCCCATGTTGAGTCTCGAGACCAGCCCCATGACAACCAACAAGGTGCTTAGGCCCCTTTACTGTTTGGAGCAAGGGAATTTTTCCCGTTCCTCCATTTCTTGTATTCTATACGGGGAAAAAATATTCAGATTCAATCATCCCAAAACTACTAATATATTATATTTATCATATCAAATAGGTACGTAGAAGGGAAGATGGGATTAACAGCACCCTAAGAGATGCTCCGATGGATGATTCACAATTCAATCTGCAAACTCATCTATGAATTATCGGTTGTTGCACGAAATAAATCGAAGACAGAACGGATCAAGATGGTATCTACCTCGCAGTCGCCCAAAGCGTATGCCGCCGCCGCCGCCGCCACCGCCGCGCTGGATTGTATGGGAGCACGGCGTCGCCCTGCGCGTAGACGAATGCAACAGGAAGGAGTTTGGGAAGGCGGCGGCGGCGCGTTAGGGTTTTTTCGGTTGCCTGGGCCTGGCTGGCGGGGCGCTCGGGCCTGGAGGAACCTAAATGGGCCGAGCCTTTCCTTGACGAATGTCTGGGGAGACCGGGCCACTGGCGAGAGCTAGTGAGGCCGCATGATGGGCTGATGGGCAGACGATGGCCCATGCAGACGTGGAGATGGACCAGTCCGGCCAGCCCAAGAACTCTAGAAGCCTACAATGCTACTGCTCCCGCCTCTCCGCTTCGTCTGCAACCTCCGTCATCCCCATTGAGCAGTCGGGCGGCGGCAGCGACACTCGCACTTCCGGGGCCGGGGCAGTTGGTACCGACGGAGGGGAGGTAGGGCTGCCCTACCTCGCACTATCGGTCGGTCCACCTCTGGGTGCATTTCCCGCTCGCTTAGCGGTGCCGGGCAGGCCATGGAACGGGAGGACGCCGACGGCGCTCTCGATTTGTGGGCCCAATTCTGCTCTCTCTCCAACGAGCTTCTCACCGGCGACGGTGATATCACCGTGGGCCCACGCTTAGCTCCCGTCGTTGCCAACCTCTGCACACGCGGCCTTGCCACGCTCGTCCGTGACTACTCCCTCCACTCCCTCGAGGTCCATACCGTACCCTCTCCTTCCCGTTCCCTTCTTCCTCTCTAATGCGTGAGCGCGCACGCATAACTACTGATGGGCTGGGTTGCTATTACCGTATTCCGGTGGAGGTTTGGGCGGTGGGTAGCTGCAGGGTGTGAAGGTTCGCGTCTGCTGCATACTAGGTGTTTGTGAGAATGCCTGCACCAAATGGCTGGGGACCATATGCGAGGATGGAATCAGGATCCTGTCCTGAGCTCGGGTGTTTATGGAAATGATGCCCAAGTGAAATCTTAGTGCTGGAGTGTAGGATTTACAAATGTGGCGCTCAGCTTTCTTTTCAAGTTCTTAACTTTCAACGCTAAAATGTTCCTAATGTTTTCAAAAGTTTTCTGTTTTATCCAGTTTCTGTTGTCAACCTGTCCTTGTTGGTGCAGGAAACCTTTCGAAACAATGCAGTCAAGAAGTTCTGGCAGCACTTTCATCCTTATTGCAATGCCTCAACCGTTGAGAGAATTAAGTTCTGTGTAAGTTATGGTAAACCTAATTTCCATGTCTGATCATACCTTTATTTTGGAATGGAGATTTCAATTTTATAAAGAAACGGTGTCTTACTTGTTTCCTATTTAGATTATCTTTTCTCCTACAAGTATGTGGTACCCTACATATATCATGAATTATAAAAAATAAAATGACCTGTTTTCATTTTATTATAGTTTGATGGCGTGGACTCTTAACGCCTGTTTTTACCTGGTTATTCTCTCTTTTTAAGAAAAAATAACAAAACCTCTCAATTCATGCATTAGGTTAAGGAAAATTGGCCTGAAGAAATCTTAAGTAAAGCACTGGAGGACATATGCTTGGAAAAGGGTTACCAGGAAAAATGTGTTCTTGTTCTTGTCCATGCTTTTCAATCATATGAGGATAGGGCGCCGCAAAAACAATTCAAAGCAGTGGACTGTATTTCCAGCTTAATGGCTAGGTATCAGTTAATGGTATCATCAGTACTTCTGACAACACTGCCCTTGAGCTTTCCTGGTTAGTATCATTTCTTCTGTTTTGTGAGTAGAGAAGGCCTTTTCTTAATGCTGTATTGGTCACAGTTGTTTCCACCAGCTTATAGTGACCATGTAGTTTACTGTTCCTTTGAATAATACTCTACACACAAGAAAAAAATTGATACACACATGTTGTTCACTGTTTCTTTGAATAATGCTCTACACACATGAAAAATGATACATAGCTGAGCACAAACAGCGCCCTGTTTCCTCTTTGTTGTCCAGGTACCAGTTGTTCCCATGGTTTGGTCCTGTGATGGCAACACCTGGTCTTTCACTAAGCTGCTGACTAGGGCAAGTTAGGTTCACTGATATGTGTACTAAATTGGACCTTCCCCTTTCACCTACGCTTAGGGTCAGCTCACATAATTCCTTGGGTTGATATAGGGATTTTATAGCATTTGTCACCTCCTTCAGAAACTATCACTGTACAGTACTTTAGTGAGTACATGCTTGTGCACATTGATATCCTTGCAAGGCATAATCACTGACAAACTGATTTCGACTATATTTTACCAGATGCATTCTTCATTGTTATAGTTAATTCTAAATTAAAAGTCAGAATTAGTATATTCAACCGGTGTTCTGTTACCACATTAAAATGTTGCACTTTGTAAAATGAAAGTGTTCATTCTTCTCTGTCACTTTTCAGAGATATTGAATATCTATTTCAAGAAGAAGCTGGAAGAACTTAATACTATTATGGCTGGATCTTATGAGAGTGATGAACTTGTGGATCATGAACCTTTTCAAAGAAGTAATACTTCTGATTGGCATTCTGTAATGGACATTGATGGGTCAGAAGTTTCAGAAAGTAGCTCCTTGGTAAAGAACATTGGAAAAGTTGTTCGTGGTCTTAGATGTATTGGTTTTACATCAATGACTGAAGATGCTTATTCCTCTGCAATAATATGGCTTTTAAAGGTCTGCATCACTTATTTTGGCATATCTACTATTGAAGTTCTTATAACTGACCTTGTATTATCTCTCATTCTCACTCTGCAGTCTAAGGTTTATGAACTAGCTGGTGATGATTATAGAGTTCCTGTCCTTGGGTGTGTGAAGAAGTGGATTCAGGTACCATCTCATCTCACCATTTTGCAAAGTACAAAATTTGGGCCTTCAATTATATATTTTGTCCACCCATGTTCTCTGACATAAAATTCGGATTTTGTCAGGCTGTCCCTCTTCAGTTTCTCCATGCTCTTTTAACATATCTCGGTGACTCTGTGGACTATGACAGTGGATCTTCTGGTCTCAAATCACCATTAGCTTCACGTCCTTCTTCCTTCCCAGGGATTGGTGTTCCTTCTGAAGCCCTTGTGAGATGGCACATGCGCCTTGAATATTTTGCTTATGAAACCTTGCAGGACCTACGAATTGGCAAACTTTTTGAAATAATTGTAGATTATCCTGAGAGGTCAGTCATTTCCCCTGTATGGTGCTGCGATATTCTGTAGGGGCTTTGACAATCCAAATATTGTATACGCTTGAATAGTTTTCTTGACTGATGTTATGTGAAGCTTACCATACATAGACTTTGGCAACTTGATTTATGAGATAACTTTTGCAACGTGTTTTTCCTAACAGTGTCCATCTGGACAACATTTATGTTATCGCATGCTATCCTCACCTAACTGGAGGAATTTCTTAATATGATATTGTGGCTCGTATATGCATCTCATCATTTCTGTTTTTTTTAATCTGTATGGCTACTGAGTTTTGTTCTTTGCTCCTTCTCAATTCCTTAAAACAAACATCCTATTTTGTTTCATCTATCATACTGTGCATATACTTTCAATACTCTTTTTATTTGATCTTTAGGCTTTGATCAAGTTTGTTAATACATCTATATGAAACTTCTGACCTACCATATGAATGCTAGTTTGGTTTTTCTATTGTTACTATCTTATGTAACCCAATCCATATCCATTTTTTGGGCCTTTTTTTATGTAGCTCTCCCGCTATTGAAGACCTAAAGCTGTGTTTAGAGTACACGGGCCAACACGCTAAGCTTGTTGATTCATTTATCTCGTCGCTTAGATATCGTCTACTTACTGCTGGTGCATCAACAAATGATATATTGCACCAATATGTGTCCACTATCAAGGCATTGCGGACAATTGACCCCACCGGGGTGTTCTTGGAGGCAGTTGGTGAACCAATTAGGGATTATCTGAGGGGTAGAAAAGACACTATCAAATGCATAGTAACAATGCTAACTGATGGATCTGGAGGAAGTGCAAGTGGAACAGGAAATGCAGGTGACAATCTTCTGGAAGAGTTGAACAGAGATGCTGAAAACCAGGAAAATGCTGATTACGACGATCATGCAAACATTGATGAGAAACAAGCATGGCTAAATTCTGAAAGGTATATCTTCTTCATTCTAGTGATCATAACGTTGCTTATTCTGTGAGTTCTAAGAAAGTTTGCCCCTCTAAATGTGGTTCCTTACTGTGATTTGAACTTTTACAGCTGGGAACCTGATCCTGTAGAAGCAGGCCCATTGAAAGGCATCAGGAACAGAAGGAAAGTCGATATACTTGGACTAATGGTTAGTATAATTGGCTCAAAGGACCAACTAGTCAACGAATACCGTGTAATGCTGGCAGAAAAGCTGCTCAACAAATCTGACTTTGAAATTGATTCAGACATTCGCACGTTGGAACTCCTGAAGGTTAGACTATTAATTTTATGATAGACCTATTCTTAATTGTGTTTCCAAGAGATTTGCCTATGCCACATGACACAGCATTCCTTCACTATAGCAGTGATATTGTTATTTGGCAGATTCATTTTGGTGAGAGCAGCATGCAGAAGTGTGAGATTATGCTTAATGACTTGATTGACTCGAAGAGAACCAACTCAAACATTAAAACATCTTTGCTGAAGACATCCCAAACTGGTACTGCTCAAATATCACAAGTCCCTTACAAAACAAAGTTTAATATACTGCAACATCTGTACACTTCCTTTTTGTTGGCAGTTCCTGGGCAAGAGGAGGCAGAAGTGTCTCATGATGTTCTGGATGCCACTATAATATCGTCTAACTTTTGGCCACCAATTCAGGTATGCCCTAAGGATGTTTTAATGGTGGTAGTTCTGGAGCTAAATCAGTAGCATTTTACCTATTTCACCCTTTATCTCTGCTTAGACAGATGACTAGTGAGTCAGGGCCTATCAACTTTTTTTTAGGGTAAACAGTAGCGGGAACCACTATGGTGGTGTATAGAAAGTCTGTACACCCAAGAAGAATAATCTCAATATCTTCAAGCTATACTAATTGTGATATGGAGATACTAATTGACTAATCAGTCAGAACCTATTGACAGTTGTAAAATTGATATGTTCTGACTCTAGTCGATCAAGTACTAAACTCTGAATTGGCAAGATCAGTTCTGCATCAATTAGCATGCTATCTTGTCGAATCAACAGACATATGCTTCATTAATTACTGAATATGTCATCACAACTGTTAAATAACTAAAGTATTTCAATGTTGTTTGGATAATTGACTGTCAAAAAAATTCTACACCAACATTTGTTGTTTATATCTTAGTTTATTTTAACACTAGTGTTTTCGTGACGGAATGTCGAATCTTTAGGAGATACTGTAATTTGAGCAGTCTGTATTTTCTATCTCTTGTATGTTCTTTTTATTCACCAGCCTCGTGTATCCGGTATGAATGCAGACAGAAGACCTTGTTGTTCCTGCTTCAGTTGATCAGTTGCTATCTGATTACGCAAAACGGTTTCACCAGATAAAAACTCCACGAAAGCTATTATGGAAGAAAAATCTTGGAACAGTCAAGGTTGGAAAAACAGATTTAGTTAATGGGTACTATGAAAACATATCTTGGTATGTGAAGTGGGTATAAGCTATAACACTCTCTTTGCTTTTGCAGTTAGAACTGCAATTTGAGGGAAGAAGCATGCAGTTTACTGTAGCTCCTGTGCATGCTGCAATCATAATGCAATTTCAAGAAAAATCTAGGTATTTAAAGAACTGTATTATTGTATGTATCATCTGTACTCTTTTGACTAATCTATCGAACTTTGCAGTTGGACTTCAAAGACACTTGCTACAGAAATTGGCATACCTATGGATTCTCTTAACAGAAGAATAAGCTTCTGGACAAGCAAGGTCTGGCACACATGTATCAGTGACTAATTGTTACTTCTTTTTTTTTATGTGAAATATGCTTGTCATTATGCAGATCATGGTAACATGACCATCGAAACTGGAGTGTAATTGATATTAATGTATATTAGCTGTTTGGACTAAAATTTGATGGACTAGATAGTTGATCACACACTGATCTAGAGTTGTACACAAGCTATATAATTTGCATTTCATTATCTGTGGAAATAAATTCTGGATATTCTCAATCTTATACATGCCCTAGGCTGCATGATGTCTGTACAATCATTTTTCCTTGCATAATTGTTAGCTTCGGTCTGTTTAAGAAGCAGATTTAACAATTCTGTAATTTGATATAGGGGGTCCTGACTGAATCAGCAGGACCAGATGCCGATGATCGCACCTTTACTGTTGTTGATAGCATGCCTGATGTCAACAAAAACAGTATTGTGAATGAACGCTTGGCAGAGTATCAGATGACTGAGGAGGAAGGTGAAAGCTCTGTGGCTTCAGTGGAGGATCAACTTAAGAAAGAAATGACAGTTTACGAGGTATGGCTCGAAAGGAAGAAATACTGAATAAATATATATTTACATTTTGTTTGTGCTCACTTTTGAACCATTGGGATGCCGTATGCCCTGCAGAAATTCATCATCGGAATGCTAACCAATTTTGGGAGTATGTCGCTGGACAGGGTACATAACACTTTAAAGGTAAGACCAAAACATGGCCTTTTTTTCTCTCTACTTCGCATTTTGATCTCTTTTTAAATTTCTCATTTTTCAGATGTTCTGTATTGCTGAGCCGTCATACGACAAGTCACTGCAGCAGCTCCAAAGTTTTCTTTCTGGTCTAATAGCGGATGAAAAGCTAGAAACGAGGGATGGTCTGTACTTGCTAAAGAGGTAGCACTGTAGCAGTCATTCTATACTAGGATAGTGGGTTGTTAGACTAGGGTAGTAGGGTTGTACTACTTGCTAATGAGTTGTTTAGACTAGAGACGTCGGGTAATCAGACACAACATACTTCATTATCAACGCTATGTTATCGTGTTCCACGAAATGTCTTAGTGTTATATCCTAGGAACTAAAGAAGTGGAGTAAGTATCAGCGTCCTTGGTGCCCCACTATTGTGTATTTTCACTCTCTGAGCACCTTTGATATTCTTAGATTTCCAAAGAATCAGTGCAAGCAACTTATCTCCTCTATAAGGATGGAATTTTGGACGGAAAGCTTTGATCTCATGCTCCACGTCATCATATAACCTTATGCTCCTCTATATGTGGCGTGAGACTTGATCGATAGATTGGCTTTGAGTTGGGCCGAGCCGTATATATATTGAAGACTTTCTTCATGGTTGGCTAGCTGTGATCGCGGCGACGACCTAGCTCCCCAGGACACGACGCCATCCGCCGCCGCTGACGACAACGAGGAGGTGATCCTTGGCCTCCGCATTCTGCTCTCCCTAGCCCCGTATGCCCCCCATATAAGATCAGGCCGCGCGCGGAGTCCCTGCGCCCTAAGTACCGTACGTGTAGAGTTGTAGTACGTACACCCTTTTCTTCTGCTTTTTTTAATTCGACACACCGTATAGTACCTGATCCTGATCGATCGTCGATACACATGCATGCGAACACAACAATATTCTTCTCTTGGCCTGATAAATATCATTCCTAGTTCTTAGGTTAATTTGCATGCATGTTCGATATATATGATCGATAACTAGTTCTTAGGTTGCAAATTGTTGAGATCGAGTGTGCTGATATATATGATGATTGCATTGTCTACATCTACCACTTCCCGTTTGGTTTTGGTATAACTGAATACATATGCATGATACTAAAATTAATGATCATTGTACGTACGTGTGCTTGGTGTGTTTAGATGCTGATTTTGGTGAAGAATCTCAACGGCAGAACAGTGTCCGTCAAAGTGGAGTTCTCTTCAGACACGGTTGCCAGCGTCAAGGCAAAGCTTGAGGAGTTGGAGGGCATTCCTCCTCAGCACCAGAACCTTTTATACTCCGCCAGGATTCTCAGAGATGGGCACAAGCTTTCCGATTACAACGTCAAGGAGGAATCCACCTTGCACCTTCTCATGCGTCCTGTCTCCTGCGGTGGCGGATGCTGCGGTAGTGACGACGACACAGCATCTATATCTACGTCCAGACACGCACGAGCAAGAATCTCGCGCTCCAAGTGGAGCCATCGTCAGACACGGTCGCCGACGTCAGGAGAAAGATCAGTGGCCACCAGAGCCTGTTCTTGGCCGGCGGCAACAAGCTCGAGGATGATCGGACGTTTGGATCCTATTGTGAGATCCAGTAACTAGAATTTTTTTTATAGGTGGCTTGTAACCCTTATAAAGTTAGAGCAAGTTTGTATTTCACTATTTACTAATAAAATTGCTCTAGTGATCTTGTAGATTTTTAAATAGGCTATTCACCCCTCTCTAGCCATTTTAGGACCTTTCAGCCCCTTTCTTCTACAAGCATAGCATATGCGGCCTTCATTTGCTCTATGCTTGTTTTACTTGTTGGGACACCTATTGATCATGTGCCCCGTCTCATTGCATCCATAGAATCTTCTTGTTATAACTTGAGCCTTCTTTCTTGCCTCTTTGTACAAGGGGCAAGGTTGGTGGGATGGCCCAACTTCCTGTAAATGAGACAAGCACTTGGCTCATCACTCTTCACTTGCTTGACCACTTTGGTAGAAGCTTTTTGTTCGGCGGCTTCAATCTTGTCATCCCAACTCTTGTGTGGACACATGGCCCACTTATGTCCATATAATCGACAACCATAGCATAGTCATTTTCTATGCTTCTTGCCCTTGGTTGCTTTGACATTGCTTTCTTTTGTTGGGTTTTGGAGAGAGCAAGGTTTGAACCCTTCTCAAGCTTCTTCACCATGTGATCACGGTTATCTTGAGAAGGTTGTGCTTCCTCCTTACCCTTCAACTGAATCACATCCTTTCTTAGCCTTTCAACTTCTTCTTTAAGCTCATTATTTTCTAATACATTTTGCTCAATCGAAGATTGGCTTGCTTGAGAAAAACACTCATTAGTACAAGAAATATTCAATTGAGATGGTGTACATGTGAGTGTGTGAGTGAGAGGTTGAGACGATTTTACCGATGTAACCACAACCTCATGAGTTACCTCAAGCATGAAATGTGATTCTACTAATTTTTCATGTGAGCACTTTAGCTGAACATGGTTGGCTAGGAGAACATTATATTTACTTGATAGTTCATCTAGTCTTGTCTTGAGCTCAATGTTTATCTTTTCTAGTTGTGTCACGCTAGAAGAGGAATTAGTAACTAAAGCATACTCATTTGACAATTTTTCATATCTTTCATTTAGAGCCTTTAGTTCTTCCAACTTGGAGATGAGAAACATTTCTTGCTTTTGGAGTGATTGTTCTTGCTTCTCATTCTCCTCTTCTAACTCATCATTCTTTTCAACTATCTTCATGATGATGAATTTGTCCTTGTGATTGAGATGATCAAGGTTGTAGTTGTCTTCAACTTCAACATCACTCTTGTCTTGATCATCCACTTATGCTTTCTCCTTCACTTGATCTTTCTTGGAGACTTTCTTCTTGCTTTTCTTGGCCATGAGACACAAGTGATGAGAATCATGAGATACTGTGGTTGACTCATCACTTGGCTGCCATCGAGCTTGATCAATGTCGCAGAGGTCAGCTTGTTGCCTTGCTATCGTAGCAGTACCGGACACGTCTGGTATTTGCGACCAGACAACACGCCATCTGCGGCTTGCACTTCTTGCTCCGACTCGATGCTTTGTTGGTTCCTTGAGGCTTCTTCACTGCATGAAGATTCAATGGACATGTTTTCCATTGACTCGAGCTCATATGCATCATCGCATTTGGATTTTCCATATAACTCAACAAGTCTAGTCCAAATGAGATGAGCACTCTTCGGAGGTGGTTGTCCATTGAAAATAGCCTCATCTATAACCTATGCACTCAATGTACTCAACATGACATTAATTGCTTGAGCATTGAGTTGCACACATATTCTTCCTCTTTTGGAATATTTTTGTAGTTGCTCCAATCAACCACCGGAAGAGGTATGCTTGCATTCACAATATGCTCAACAAGAGAACTAATAGTCCTAAAAGCATTGAGTACATGAATTGACCAAGGTAGAAAGTTTGAACCATCATTTTGGAGAAGCACCGGCTCCAACTCGTTAGGCATCGACATTCTTTTCTCATGGCGGTGAAGCTTTTAGTGAGTTCTTGTTCTGATACCAATTGAAAGGACCGAGGATGCCGCCTAGAGGAGGGGTGAATAGGTGTTTCTAAAAATTCAACCATTCAAAAATGAAAAAAACATTAGTGTCTTGAAAACTCTTAATCAGATAAATAAACCCCTCACGAGTTAGCAAACAAAGTAAACAAGGTATATGTAAGGTATCTATGAGCTAAAACCCTGCACCACAAAGGTTAGAAATGAGATTCAATAAAAACAGTAGAGTCCACAAATACCGGACACGTCCGGTATACACGGGTTTTGCCCGATCAGCTCCCAACTTGATCCTTTCGATTTCTCCTTTCACACCAAGTTGCTGGCACTTAGTATTAACCTGTTCACAAGCTCAAGCAACACATGTGGATCACAAATACTCAATGAAAAGAGAGATCGAGACACACGATGTGTTTTACCGAAGTTCGGCCTCCATCGAGACCTACTCTCCGTTGAGGGGGCTGTGAGCGACCCAGCATAGGTCAGCTCTAGAGGACCACGAAGGCCACTCTAGCCAGAGTCTTTTTCAACTTTTTTTCTCCTTCCACTAGCTTGATTCCTTCCCTTTGCGGCGGTGGAATCGAATCGTTATAAACTTTTCGAGGCACACCACAATGTCTTGAGTGCTCTCCGGCGATGCCTAGCTGTCTAGAATCGAAGAGTCCAAGAGTAACAAATACAAATCACAAGATCGATAATATGCACAAGTGTTCAAGGGTGGCTTGCTCTCAAATTTGAATCTCACTCAACCCATAAGATAGATTTTGCAAGTTTGAATTAATCACTCACTAAGAGAGGGTTAGAGAGTGTTCTCAAGACTCAAAAATGTGTCTGGAAGTCAGCAGAATCAGCAGCCTCCAAAGTTGGAGGCTAAGGGGTATTTATAGTCCCTTTGAAAAACTAGCCGTTATGTGACAGTTGGGCAATACTTGGCCGTACAGCCTCAATGGTCACTTTGTCAGTGACGCGCGAGATGTTGGAACTCCCGACGATCGCCGGAACTCCCGACCCTAGAAACTCCCGACTCACGTCAGAACTCCCGACGAACCAAGTCGAGACAACGAAGAAATTGCTCTGACTGGGCAAATACCGGACACGTCCGGTATGTCCGGTATTGCCAGACCAGCAGAAAACAAGTTAGCTCTTTTGTCTATCAAACACTCAAATCTCACATGGATTGGCTTGAGCACTCATAAATGATTATCTATCAACATGATGCATCCCTCTTAATAGTACGGCATACCTATTAACTCGAGATCAAATGAAAATAGATTTTGAAGCACTTGAGTTGAATTTCCTTGAACCAAAATGCCATAGCCTTCAATCTTCATCAAGTGAGGGTGTCAACATGTTGATTTTGATTTTATCCATGAGCATTGCCATCTTAAGCATTTGACTTAATTCCATTCAACATATGAGAGTTGGGTTCAAAGATATCAAGTCATCTCGTTATAAAGTCATCTAGGATTTGATTCTTCACTTCAGTATGACCAACATGATTTGATTGGTGCCTTGACTAAATGCAAGTACTTCCTTCTTCAACCTAGCTAGGTTCCTCGGTCGCCAAGCCGTCACTTGCTCTTCACCCTTGCTTAGTACCTCGAAACTTTTTCTTACTATCATCACATCTCAAGCCATCTAGTCACACTTGATGTCGAATCATTCATTAAATTCATTTGTATACTTGTCTTTTATCTTAGCAAGCTTCAGTCGGTGAGACCAATCCATATGCAATCTCTTGTGTCTCATTAATTATTTTTCAACATGCTTGCTTTCATATGAATCATCGAAATCCCACAACAAATAAGCCTTGTATGAATTATATTTGCATTGTTGTCTTGTGTTTGAACTAAATTATTTTCAACAATACATCATTTTGGCTTTCATTAAATATCTGTGAGATAACTTATTACCTATTCACACTTAGCAAATGAGTTAGACCTTTAATTACATTGTCATTCAATCATCCAAAACCTGCTAAAAGTCTAAATGCACTTTCAGACATGGTGCTCATCGGCGGGAGGGACGACGGCGAGGTGTAGTTGTCCGTGTCGCTGGACCTGCGCGCATGGAGTTGGCGCACGTCTTTGCCTCATCGGCACCGTCGGTGGCTAATTGATCTATTAGAACGTAGAAGAAAAAAGAAATCAATCTAGCAATTTTATGGGCTCTGCCACATGCGACTACGAGGTAGGGATTGCCGTTTTGTTCTCATATTTATTTGGGTTTTTGCTAGATCTTTGTTGTATCTCAATCCTTTCTTTATGTGTTCGTTTCTGTCTTGGTCTAATCGCTTTAACTCCTATCCGTTTGTCTTGGACTCTTGGTCTCACGTTTCCAAGTCAAGCAACGGCTCAGGCCTGGGTCTCTGATTGGTCCATGGTGGATTCGATTTGGAAAAAAAAAATCCTTAGCCGCTGAAATTGATTCGTTTCAGTCTCAAACTCATTGTCAAACAACCATCCGTACAGGTAGTTAGAGAAAACCAGATCAAAATAATGGAACAAAAAAAGAGGATATAGATATAGATTTGGTCATATCCACTTCTTTCCTATGCAATTTAGCACTTATCTCCTTCCCTAGTTATTAGGTTTCTTACTCGATTTGGGACAGTTCATATCAATTTGATTCTGCTTCATCTGGATAAATGTGGACTGCAATCTCTGCCACAATTTTTTATTTTGTTTAAATCAAGTAAAAAGACACAACATAGCAAGTCTTAAAAAACATGATAAGGCTGCAGCTTCTGCAGTGAACAAGAGCTGTGTCTGTAGCAACACCCAGAAAGCACATGCTGCTGATCTACAAGTGCAAAGACAGAACAACATCCCATGTAAGGGCAAGTGCTTCAAATCTAGGAATCCGAGAACATTTCCTATGCTGACATGCTTCCACTTCTAAAAAACTCATCAAAATATGCACGAAAAAAAAATCAACCAAACATATTATTAATGGATAGATGATGTAAAAATGCATGCTCATGCAAATTTTGGGGATAAGTCAAATTTTGTTCAAGGAGAAAAAAAAAACAAATCATCATGTGAATAGGTGTGGGGATCCACGTAACAGTGCACCCGATCAACAAACATTCTGATTTTTCTCTTTTTTGTTTCTCGTTTTAAAAGGACGGCAAAAACTTTTGTCACGATTAATGCTCTTTTTCTCCTTGCACAAAATCTAGAAATCCTACTTGGGCTCTATCAACCTTTGCTGGTATAAGCGATTCTGTGGCTTACGACATGTTGGGTGGGAAACTGTATCTCGTAAACCGTCTTATACATCTCCGATTGCTTGTATGTGCAATGATCAAACTTGTGTGGGTCGGTTGCACAACACAAAGCCTAACTCATGCTTAGTTGTTAGGTATTGCTCAATATCATGAAGTAAAAAAAATGAACTAATCAATAGCCTTAGATTCCCCCTAAACTCATGGATGATCGCTCCATTGAGCAGTCTCCTAGCATCCATTGAACTATGAATGAGAAACGATGGGTCCAGGTCTACTAATCTTCACATAAAATCTTTTACTCCCTTTATTCTAAATTGTAAGTCGTTCTATCTTTTCTACATACATAATTTTTATTATGTAGCTATACATACTATATATAGGTGCTTCGTAAAAGTTATGTATCTAAAAAAACAGAACGACTTACTAATGGAGCAGTGAATAGTGAATATTTATAGGATTTGCTAAAATTTATAGGGTTAGTTGACTCCGTTGAGTACTCACTGTTTCACCATGGTCACGAACATTGAAGTCATGAACATCGTCTATAGAAAAGGTCAAATTACTCCCTCTGTTTGGAGAACATGATGTCACAATTCAATTTTGTTTTCAGGGGTGACAACTTGTTCACTAAACTTAACACACCCTAATATAGGGATGATGGGTCTCACATTCAAAGTTGTGCACGTGGATTAATTATAGATAGATCAAATTGTTACTCAGAGATACATTTGTTTTATTCAAATTGTTACTCAGAGATACATTTGTTTTATTCAAATTGTTCGTTTCGCTGAAAGTCAGGCTAAAAAGTAATGTTCGTTGATTTATTGTGAGAGAAAAACACTATACCATGTCTAATAAGGCAGGCTGATAAATTCAAGCGAACATGGCCCCGGAACCATTTAAGAGCCAGTAATAAAGAGTATTTTATTCTGCATGTTTTTGTTTAACAGCATGCAGTTGGTACTAAGAAAAAACTCTATTTTGCCTGTGCTGAATCTTGTACGGTTAAACAAAATGATTAATTTCCGGCAAAGAAGAAAAATGATGGAAAACATCTAGTAAATTACTCTCATATTGAAACAATAAGAAAACTATAGTGTATTTTAAAAATGATGAGTACAAATACCTAGTAGTACTCCTATGTTGTTTGTTTTAATAAATAAAAATAGCTTTACGTTCGACTCATTCGGTTCATTCCAAAACCCAAATAGCTGCAGTGGGAGTGAGTAGTTGACCTGCGTTTTGGACCAGTCAGACTACTCACTTACTCAGCCCAGCTAAGACCAGGTGGGCCCCTCCAAAGTCACGGCACAACCGCCGCCGCGACGCCATCAACGTCATCCCATTTCCATTTGGATCCCAAGCCACCGCTGCTTCCTCCTCCGTTTCGTCGTCGGCCATGGCATCCGCCGGTGGCGCTGGCGCCGACCACTCCCCGCCGCCGCGTAGCCTGGTCTTCGCCTTCTACCTCACGGGCCACGGCTTCGGCCACGCCACCCGCGCCATCGAGGTCAGTCAGCCAGTCCCTCCCGGCTTCGGGCATTGTCGCTCGTTCGTTTCCCTGTCCAAGTCTCAGCTCCGAAAATTTTGCCTGCATTTGTGTGCCTCCGCGGATCGTAGGTGGTGCGGCACCTGATCGCGGCCGGGCACGAGGTGCACGTGGCGACGGCCGTGCCGGAGTTCGTCTTCACCGCCGAGGTGCGGTCGCCGCGCCTCCGCATCCGCAGGGCCATCCTCGACTGCGGCGCCGTCCAGGCCGATGCCCTCACCGTCGACCCCCTCGCCACACTGGAGAAGGTACCCTCGCGACCCCTGACCCCCTTCTCGTTCCCGTGCCGTGTTGGCTGCCTTCTGATGCTCCGGTTGCGAAATGCAGTACCGTGAGGCGGCAGTGGTGGCCCGCGAGTCCATCCTCATGGCCGAGGCGGAGTGGCTGAGCTCCATCAAGGCAGAACTAGTGGTAACACTCTCTAGTCTCTACTGCTGTTCGGTGATCAGACATTCAGTCAGTGTTCAACTGATTGATGTAGGCGTCGTGTGTGTGGGCAATGTCTGAACTCTCAAGTAAACTGGGCTGTGATGTGCTTTTGGAACAGGTCTCGGATGTTGTTCCTATTGTGTGCAGGGTGGCTTCAGATCTGGGCATCCGCTCTGTATGCATTGGGAATTTTAGGTGAGCAACTATTTGCATTTTGTCTGACTGTTTGCATTTGAGACTTTCACTCTGAAGTTTACCTTTTGTCTGACTGTTTTCATTTTGCAGTTGGGACTTCATATATGCTGAATACATCATGGAGGCTGGATATCATCACCGATCTATTGTTTGGCAGGTAATATTTTTAGTTTTTACCATGTCAGATCGTAAGTTTCCCTTTTATGAAAGTACCTAAATAGATCATTTTGCATGTATGCCCTGACTCACCACAATCTTAGTACCATCCATATTCTGCCAATGTACACTTTTACTTTTTCAGTAATCATTTAACTCATCTATATATCTATATATACAGATAGCAGAGGATTACTCCTATTGTGATATATTACCGACTACCTGGATATATGGCCCAAGTATGCTCAACTATATTTGGTTACTCTTTTTCTTAAAATTGTGTATTCTCTGTTTTTTCGTCTTTCAAGAAAATAGAGTACTATTTCATTCCATAGTGCCGGCCTTTCGCAATGTCATTGATGTGCCTCTTGTGGTCAGAGGATTGCGAAAATCTAGATCTGAGGTTTGTATTCTGCTGGAGAAAGATATTCTGTCTCAACAAAATTCTTTGTTCCTTATTCACATGTTTCAATTGTGATCTATTAGGTGAGAAAGGAACTTGGAATTGAGGAGAATGCTAAGGTGCTCGTTTTTAATTTTGGGGGACAGGTGGGTCACTTATCATATAGGTGCTTTGATAAGCTTAGGGCATTCGTTTCTATTTTCTCATGTGGTAATGTTATGTGGCTATTTTTGAAGTGCTTATGTATCTTCTGCACCAATATCTGTTGATTCTGATTCTTTCAGTAGTCAAAGCCTATTTGCAATGAAGTGGTGCTCGTTACCTATTATTTAAATCAAAAGCAATGTCTTTTCAGTTACTTGGAAGTATTATGATTAGTAATTACCCAGATACAACATTTTATAATGAAGTCCCTGCAATACTTGAATAATTATCTTATACTTCCTTCTATTTTTAGCAGAACACATCATCATTAAGTTTCATATGTAGCATGCTTCCTTCAAAAGCTTAGTGATCCATTCCTCTATCCTGTATGCTCTAAGCTTTTATGCGAACTACACAAAACTTATCACCAACATAATGAAATAACCAGTGCGTCATTGTTCCCAGCCAGCAGGATGGAAACTGAAGCAAGAATGGCTCCCTGATGGTTGGATCTGTTTGGTATGTGTATTTTAGAGTACGGTTATATTATATCCCTTGAAAAGTGACTAACTGATGTGATTGACTAAACTTAGCTCCCTCTTCATGGAAGGTCTGTGGTGCTTCTGATTCTCAAGATGTTCCAACGAACTTTATTAAGCTTGCAAAAGATGCTTACACACCTGATGTTATGGCATGCATCTGACTGTATGCTTGGTACATCAAAATATTATATGTTGCACTAATGTTTGTCTAGCTACGAGCTTTTTGCTTTTTTTCTTGCTAGATGCATATACTTACTCTCTTTGTTTATAGGAAAAATTGGATATGGAACTGCAAGTGAGGGTTTTGGCCTGCAAGCTGCCATTAGTGTTCGTTCACAGAGATTACTTTAACGAAGAGCCATTTTGCGAAATTTGCTTGAGGTTGAAACATTTCTTATCATTGAATTATGCTAGAACTCATGTCTATATAGATGTGTTAAAATGCCTTCATGCTTTGTCCCATCACATTCTATTTCAGTACTACCAAAGCAGCATTGAGATGATCAGAAGTGATTTCCTTGCTGGACACTGGAAACCATACCTACTTCGTGCTCTCACACTTCAACCATGCTACAATGGCCCAATAAATGGTGGTGAGGTAAAATTTTCTACATATACCCAATATCCTATTGATGTTATTATGTCCGAATTAACCTGAAATCAAACTATTTCTGTACTCAATTGTATTATAACATTTGCATTTATGCAAAACCAGCTGCCTTAGTCGATATCAGGATAAAAATGTAATACTGGACTTCCATCATAATACTGAGCTTTGCAAACCAAATTATCTGTATCCTTTGGAAGTTATATTATTTGTGGATAGGCTAATACTTTGTCCATTCAGGTGGTTGCCCAGATCCTCCAGGACACTGCTGTTGGAAAGAAATGTATTTCTGATAAAGTGAGTGATTCTGCATGACCATTGAGTGGTCAGCATATTTCCGTACCTACCACTTCCACCTACGAAACTTTGTTTTCATCCTGGAGCTTTGTAGATTTTGTGACTGATGAAAAAGGAAATGCTAATGAAAGATATTTATCTTCTTTTAGAAACGACCTCTTTGAAAATTTCTTATGCTTTGTGCCAAGTAAAATCAGCATATATTAAACATGGAACGCCCATAGAAAATTAGAGATGGAAGCAATATTTTAAAATCCTGCTTAAGATTGTAACATGAGCCAACTTGGCTATCTTTAATTATAGTCTAGTGGTGCAAGAAGATTGCAAGATGCCATGGTCTCAGGATATGTGGTTCAAAGGGCTCCAGGGAGAGATGCAGGCATTCCTGACTGGTACTCTCTGTCTGAAACTGAAACTGGTGCTGGTCCGACCTCAAAAAATGCTGCTACAAAGGAAAGTGCAGCATCGTGAGTACCCTTTCTCTTGTTTTTGTCAGACATCCAGTTTTGCAATGAAATATTTTGCAACTGAAATTGCATATTTGATTTCACCAGATCCAGATGTATTGAAGACTTTGAGATACTCCATGGGGACCTTCAAGGATTAACAGATACAATAGACTTTTTGAAGAGCTTATCTGAACTTAGTGGAAATGATTTGATGAGCCCCAAGAAGCAACGCCTAGAGAGAACTGCTGCATCTGTTCTTTTTGACTGGGAGGTACTAATCTGGCAGTCCTCTGTATTCATTTTAGTGAATTATAGGACCCTGTGCAGCAGCATTAAAGCTTCATGCATACCATATCTGGAAATGGAATGTAGGATAGCTAGGTTCCATAAACTTGCAATGATGTACAGTAAGATGATTCCTTAATTTGTGCAAGTAGACCAACTTTCTTATCCTTTAAAGTTTCATTTCCAACTGCTAATCTATTTATCCTATGATACTTTTTGGGTATGAATAAACGTATGATAGCTCATTTTGTTATTTCACAGGAGAGATGGATTTTCTGATTCACGAGACAATCAGCCGTGTTAGGCTTCAACCTTTATATCATAAAACACAACATAGTGGAGTTCTAATAACAGACAATGAATTACGTAGATCCTCTTGTTTCAACTTGTATCGCAAATTCTATTGTATAAAATTCAGAACCATTTTGTTTTCAATGAACATGTTTCCTTCACCAATCTCTCTTTTGCTTGATTCATCTCTTTTTTCTTGTATTTTCCATGGATACATGTAACTTCATTTCTGATAACTGATTACTTTGATTTGTTTCATTAGCTTGTTGCTATGTACTTGAATAACTGAAGTAAGTCACTCGAAAATGGTGAATGAATGATTGGTTTGCTATAATGACTTCCCTTTTTGTTCCTTTGTAGACGGAAATATATGTAGCAAGGGCACCTGGACGTTTGGACGTCATGGGTGGCATTGCTGATTATTCAGGAAGTCTCGTTTTGCAGGTATGATCAATCACAGGTCAAATAAATTTCTTTTACAAAATAGTGCTATAAGTTTAGCTAATAGCTGGATACTCTACTCATAAATATTTGATTTGATTTTATGCTATTCCCATCTTTCGCAAAATCAGCTTGCTACTGTTCAATATGATGATGTAGCATGCAAGAACCTCGATTTTCATTGAATCTTGATGTTTACTGTATTTTCTGTATTCTTGATTTCTTTTTTGGAATTCCCTTTGATGCCACAGATAAATAAATAAATTAACTACTGGAAAGAAACATAGATGCAGTTTTTTTGGATCATGTATTTGGCAGTTGTGGTTGATATTTTGGATGCATTTACTAGATGCCCCTTCGGGAAGCCTGCCATGTTGCTGTTCAGAGAAACCATCCCAGCAAGCAGAAGCTTTGGGAACATACAAAAGCAAGACGGCTTGAGAACGCAGGCTTGGTGCCTGTGGTACAAATTGTATGTTCAACTTGTTCAAATAATTCATGCTTTGTAATCTATTCTAAAAAATTTGCCACCTCCATTGGACGGGGCATGTAGGTGCTGCATATTAGATGCATGATAATAGTGTTTCTGTTGGCTAATTTAAACTTTAGTATAGTCGCATTTTTGCCAAGTAGTTGTTCTTTTGATCTGGCTGTTTTGCATAGCATTTGTATGCACTCCCATGACTTGTCAATGCTTATTATCTATTGTGAACATGATTGTCGCACAGGTATCATTTGGCTCTGATTTGAGTAACCGTGCACCAACTTTCAATATGGACCTGTCAGATTTTATGGATGGTGGAAAACCAATATCCTATGAGAAAGCCAGAGAGCTTTTCTGTCAGGATCCATCCCAAAAGTATGAAAATAACTTTTAGTATTTCACTACAAAATTTCAACTACTCAATTATATTTGCATATTTGTGATCTGAACTATCCTATCTCAGATGGGCTGCCTATGTTGCTGGAACAATTCTAGTTTTGATGACTGAACTTGGTGCCCAGTTCACTGACAGCATTAGCATTCTGGTAATCACTCAAGTTTTCATTATCCTGCAATTGCGTATGTAAAAACCTGTAATCACTTTATCAGTTCCTTGTCTTCTTTCTGCTCTAAAACTCCAGGTTTCATCTGCCGTGCCAGAAGGAAAAGGTGTTTCATCTTCTGCATCAGTGGAGGTTGCTACAATGTCTGCTATTGCCGCAGCCTATGGTATAGATTGACATTGGTTATTTAGCCTATCCTAAACCCTGAGACATGTCATCTCTGAATAGCATTGTTGATGGTTTCCTTTTTACTTGTCTATAGGTTTAAACATCATACCAAGGGATCTTGCTTTGCTTTGTCAGAAGGTATGATGTTTAACTGAAATCTGGTGATAGAATACAGATCTACAGGTCTTTTATGGCTCTAATGTTTTTTCAGGTTGAGAATCATGTAGTTGGAGCTCCTTGTGGGGTAATGGATCAAATGGCATCTGCATGTGGAGAAGCTAATAAACTCCTCGCAATGGTTTGCCAGGTTAGTGTTGTTTATTAGTTCCATAGTACAGAAGCTGATAGATCCTACCTTTCCTCCAGCCAAAAATTAATGTTGCTTCAGTATTTATTTAATCAGTTCTCCTGCAGCCTGCAGAAGTGAAGGAATTGGTTAGCATACCAACTCATATACGGTTCTGGGGTCTAGATTCAGGGATACGGCATAGGTAGGAAGCTTTTCCTAACTGAGCTTGTGTTGTGGAGATTGCAGACATTGCTTGTCTTATTGGAAAAATTGGAGCTAATTGCAGAACTAATCTCTCTTGAACTGTTAGTGTTGGCGGGGGAGATTATGGATCTGTAAGGGTAGGCACTTACATGGGACGAAAGATGATCAAGTGTGCAGCATCAGATTTAGTTTCAGAGTCCTTGACTTCAGGCCCCCCTGTTCAGTCCGATGGTTATAAAGAAAATGGTATGGGTGTACTGAAATCTGAAGCTGCACTGGAGTATTTGTGCAACCTACCACCTCACAGGTCACATTTAGTGAATTCAACATTTATATTTATGGTTCTGGTATTGCATGGATCGTAATAAATCCCAATTGCAGATATGAAGCTGTTTATGCAAAAGACATTCCAGAGGTGATTAGTGGAGAAGCATTTTCAGAGAAATATGGAGATCACAACGACACAGTGACAGTTATTGATCCTAAAAGATCTTACAGTGTGAAGGCTCCTACTAGACATCCCATATATGAAAACTTCCGTGTTGAGGTTAAATCTCTCGACCAGATAATTTGTTTCTACACTACTAAATCTATTTTCTGAATTGGAAAAGCATTTATGGTGGGAACCATTTCAAAGTTTTGTTCTTTCCTGAACCATGCTGCAACAATAGCATTGATACGGTGTCCTCTTTGATAGATAAGCCTAGTGTTAAAGTACTTGTATCTTACTTTTCTTGCACTTTTACTTTCCTTGGCTTCCAAGCCTAGTGTTAGGAATATGCTCAGCATCCACTTTAGTGGTTAGAATATGCTGTAGCAAGTGGGAGTCCCCCTGCCTATAAAAGGCAAGGGAGTGTCATTGTAAAAACTAAGCTATTGCATTTCCTTTCAATCCAAGCGGCCAAGGGCCAAGCTGCCCTCCGGTAGTTTCCAAATCTGAATCTGAGATCTATTTTTGGGCCAACACTCTTAGTGCCATCCAAAGTGGCAGAAAATTGTAAATTAACCCCAAGAAACTAAACTCTGCAACTAATGGTCTTTCATTTGATTCCCCTTTATTGAAGACTACTCCCTCAGTCTCGCAAAGAGTGTCATTCTCCTTTCCTGAGAAATCAAACATTTTCAACTTTGACCAATTATATAAAAGAAATTATCAATATTTATGGTGCATAATAAGTTTCATTAAATTAATTATTGAATATATTTTCATAATAAGTTTATTTGGAGATACACATGTTGCTAATATTTTTTACAAACTTAATCAAAATTCTGAAAGTTTGACCTGCACAAAACCCTAGGCAACTTTCTTTTTGGGACAGAGGGAGTATTTCATTGTTTTCTCTCTTGACATTCTTTTAATTTCTGGTCTGTAGGCCTTCAAAACATTATTAGAGGCAGGTAATACAGATGAGCAACTGTCAGCCCTTGGAGAACTTATGTACCAGGTGAATTAATTTGAGTGTCTGCTCATCACGATGCACCTTTCTCTACTCCTATTGCATAACTGAGGTTCACTGTGTAAACATTAAGTTGAGGAAATTGTGCTTTGCTGGTAATATTCTTCTCTTTGTAGTTTGTACTGCTACTGCATACCTTTGACATGTTTCTCTTCACATATTTCTGGCAGTGCCACAACAGCTACAGCGCGTGTGGCCTTGGTTCTGACGGGACTGACAGACTAGTCAATCTAGTACGAGAAATGCAACACAGGAAGACATCCGAGGGCGGAAGCCCTAGTCTATTTGGCGCAAAGATCACTGGCGGAGGCTCCGGTGGCACAGTATGTGTTATCGGGAAGAACTGCGCCAGGAGTTGTGAAGAGATTGCAGAGGTAGCTTCACGGAGTCCCTTTTTTTCATTTGGCGTTTGGGTTTTTGTCAGGATAGAATGACAGAGACCGATATTTTCTTGCACCTTCAGATTCAGCGCAGATACAAGGCTGAGACCGGGTATCTGCCCATTCTTTTCGACGGGTCGTCTCCAGGAGCTGGGAAGTTTGGTTACCTGAAGATCCGACGTCGTTGTCCCTAATGGGCAGTGGCTGATTGGCAAATGAAGAATTTGGGCTTTGTCATTGTTTTACAGACGACATATATTACTCAATTGTTAAGAACTTCAGTCCAAGCCATTGGTAGAACTTACAGGTGTATGCCAGTTGCGACGATTCGTGAATGTGTAAGGTCATTTTTTCACACGAAATATTTTATCAGGTGCTATGCCAATTCAGGAAGCTACTGGAGGAAAATGTGTGAGGAATAAGCTCTTTTTGAGCAGATGTAGCCGTCTATTTGACTCTAGTCTCTACTGGTCTCCTTGTGCTTGCTGCAGTGTAACCAAACTCTAGGTAGATGTGCTACTGCATGCCTTATTGGTCAGGCCGGCGCATAGTGAGATGCCTGGCTGGCTGGGCATGCATACATGCGCGCGGTTGGATTGGCAGCCAGCGTGCGCTGAACTTTCTTTGCTGGCAAGGTGGTAGTCGTGGACTCGTGGTTGGGGTTGGGCCGTCCATCCATGTCGCCCGGCGCCGGATTATTGCATTGCATGCATGCACTTGCTTCGCGCGCGAAAGCGAGAGCGAGATGGGCTGTGTTCGTTCCCATCTACTTGACCTAGCTACTCCTAAGTCCTAACTAGTGTCACCTCGCTCAGCGCTGTCCGGCGCACTATAGCCATCAAGATCCGGTGGTGCCCGTACGTATAACATATCTCCACGCTTTCATGCACGTCCCCTCGCATGCCCGCCAAAAGACGGACCCGATGACAGCGACATGCTCCTACGTTGGTGTCAACTTCTGCTTGGGGGCGTGCAACCCGGCCGTTCCTCGAAAGGTTATTCAGCCTGCCCGAATCGCCTCCACAACTCTAGCTTGCTTCGTCAGAATGGGTGCATGGAAGCTAACGTCCAGAGCAGCGGACGACGAGCAAGTACGAAAGATACGAGCTGTTTTGTTTGGTTGATGCCTAACTTTGTCGCAAATAAAGTTAGGCAAAGTGTTGCAGCTATAGAAAGTGTTGCCAACAAATCAGGTTCCACACTTGTGGCATAAAGTTTAGCATCAAAACGAGTCTGCAGCATATGAGGCATGTGACTAGCTAGCTAGTACTGGTACTAGTAGCTCCAAGGCTCCAAGCAACACCAAAAGCCACACGGGAGTTGAAGCGGTTCACAGTTTCACTCGTCACTCGGGCACAGAGGACTGCATTGCGTTGGGTGCGCGGAAACGGAGGAGGTAGTAGCTTAGCAGCTGCAGCCGTGACTCCCCGTGAGTGTCCAGACTGATCTGGTTGTTAAAGTTTAGTGCGTGTCTGGCACAGCTCTTAGGGGCTTCGGCTCATGCACTGTAGGGTACGGTAGCGAGGAGTCGGAGAAGCTCTATATCGTGGCTCCACCGGCTTCTCCTCTTCTCAGTTCATTTTTACCTTGAAATTTGAAACGGCTCCATGCTATAGTGTCGCTACAGTGATTCTGATGATGAGCCGGAGCCCTGGGAGCCGTGCCAAAAACGGCCAGTGTGTCACATCAAACGTTTTGATGTTAACAAGAAAGATTAAATATAAATTAATTATAAAACTATTTGCACAGGAGTAAACAAATTAGCAAGCGAATTTATTAAACCTAATTAACCATGACTAGCACGTGTTTACTGAGCACTACGTTGTGAAATCATAGACTAATCAGGTTTAATAGATTCACCTTGCAAATTAGTCTTAAACTATATAATTAATTTTGTAATTAATATATATTTAATACTCTAAATTAGTATCAAACATTTGTGTGACAAGGACTAAGTTTAGTCCAGATGGTTTTTGTCGTCGGATCGTGCATACATGTTCAATGGAATGGAATCATGGATGGTGCATGGGGAGGAAAGGACGCTGCCTAGTGGACTATGGGTATGATGCATACATGGGATGCCTGATTGCCCCGAGAAGAAGAAGCGGAAGCCACACGGACACGGTGGGCTGGATGCGGGAGCGACCTCGCATCGTCCTCCCTCTCTCCGCGAGCGAGATCGGATACGGACGGATATCACTGATATTATATTTATTTTATATTTCTATTCAGATTTAGATTTAAATACGGATAGTATCAACTATACCAAATAGGATACAATTAGATATTGACATCATAAATATACGATTTGAGTATTCCGATATGGATATAATATCAAATGTTGAATATGCAGGGCACGGACAAATTTGAACTCCTATTCGGTTCCTGTTTTCACCACTAAGGGTGCGTTTGCGAGGGTGGCTCAGGCCGGCCTTGCGCTCGTGGGCTGCAGGCTCCCGTGTTTGCGGCCTTAGCCCACGAGCGAGCCCGGCTCCCAGGAGTCAAATACGACGCCGCCGCCTGGCCCTGGAGAAACGCCGCTAGGCTTCGTTTCTATGCGGCCAGGCTCGCGCGAGCGCAGCAAGCATGCGGACGGGACATGTCAGTGAGACAGTGGATGCTCGCATGCAGTTAACCAAACGAAATCTCCGAACAACCAGGCTCTATGAGTACGATAACCAAACACCAGTCGTGTGCATACGCTCAGCCTGGCTACCTGCAGCTGGCTGCCCAGGTACAGCCTGGCTGCACAGGTACACCCTCGCAAACGCACCCTAAGTCTCCCACACCCTCCGTGCTTGGCTCGCTGCCGGCCGGCCTGGTCCGGAGCCCGGAGGCCTCTGTCATGTCACGTTCCCACGCCCACGTCATATATATTCGGCGTCACCGTACGCCTAGCCAGGATTTGTCCGATTCGAGCGTAGTACTCCTATTGACATGAAATCCGTTTCTGTAGAGCCAGTAGTATGTTTCAAAGTTGCTTAAGGCTTATAACATGGTAAAATTAACTTACGTCGCCAATAAAAATTCCAACAAAGGGCGATACCTTGGCCAGCAAAAAACTAGGATCTAGGGGGCAGGTCCGGAATCTATGCCTTTTTTGCGCAGTTTATACCTGTACTGTGTACCCTTTTTCATATAGTAATATTTTAATTATATATATATATACAAATCCACTAGAAAAGCTTTTGCTTTTGGGACACTAACCCATGATGGGAATGAGAATATTGTAACATAAAAGAGGTCGAAATGGGCGTGGCCATGCGTCATAACGACTCCACGCCTGCATATGCCCAATGGAAAAAGGCGCCGGAACATGAACCAAAAGACGTCAGAATAATATTATCGATTCGACGCCGTAAAGCCTGATTCCCAATAAGGCCATGTTTAGTTACACCGAAACACAAAATTTGTCACTATGCAAAAAAAAGATTCCTCGTCACATTAAACTTACGGTACATGTATGGAGTACTAAATGTAGATGAAATCAAAAACTATTTGCACAGTTTGGTTGAACTTTACGAGACGAATCTTTTGAGCCTAATTAGTCAATATTTGGACAATAATTCATAAATACCATAGTGTTCGCCGTCATATCAAATACTGTATAAATGCCGAATCGGCAGCGAACTAAACGCGGCCTAAGGCTGTCCGCACCGCGCAGCGGTAAAGCCGACGGTACGCCAACGGTAGCGTACCGTGCGTCCACACCGCGCGCCTGTAAATGGCCCGGGAGTGTACCGGCTGCACAGGAAAACGCCACAGACCGCGCACGCGGGAGAGAAACGCTAAACACTGTAGCAGTACTGTAGCGCGGAGAGAGAAAGAGGGAGAGAGTGGAATAAAATATGGAATAGTGGGTATAGAGTATGTGATAGAGATAACATGGATGCGGAAGAAATAGATATAGAGTAGAGAATCTCGATGACTATGATAGAATATTTCTTTTTAGAGATGAAAATAGAGGTGGACAAGTGCGGATAGCCTAATCGTCTAATTAGTGGTAGGTAATTTAGAGTACTACTAGCGTTAGTGTGAGGAGCCCACAGCAACATTCTTAGAAGCTTCTTCTTGATAGTATTATTCTAAGGGTACTTTCAATGTAGAAACGACCATAGTTTCTGTAGACATTAATTATACTGTCACGTAAGCGTTTTGCTAATGTGGCAATGTAGTTATTGAAGAGAGAGCAAAAATCATAGAAACTAGGTCTAAGTTAGAAACCATGTCTACACGAGAACCAAGACACGAAGGGGTGTGATTGGTAGAGAATGAAGAGAGAATGTATGTGATTGGATAAAAAATTGTTCCGTAGAAACTATCCATTGAGGGCCATGGTTAACTCTATATGTAGTAGTGTCTATGAAAATTAATAGATATATAGTTTCTAGCACCGGGACTGCCCTAAGAGTATTGCTAAAAGCCTCAAATGAGGCCACCCCTCTTTTAGCTTACTCCCATCATCACACATACTTCCTTCAATCCTAAACACGAATATGCATGTATTTATATGTCCTAAATCTACTCATACTTTAACAAACAACAATTATAGTGTTTTGCTGAGATTTACACATAACAAAATTTTGTGTTGCTAGAGAATACCAACAGAAAGATCATGAAAAAAATAGGAAATACGGTAGCATCTTAAATCTTTTGGACTGAAAAACAATAGAAATTATAAAATCTAATGTTTGGATGCGAGAAAAACGCAAGAAATCAAATCGAAGAGACGAAGTGGCACAAAGAAAACTTTAAACTCTTGGCAGAATTCCTCTAAAGTTTCCATTAAGAACAAGTAATTTCATAGGATCCTCATCCTTTATTTGAAGGGTTTTATCAAAATTTTGCCATAGAAACCTAATAATCTAGAATTCCTTCATTTTACTAAAGGGGCCGAGTTGGCAAAGATAAGACTACACCAACTTTTGTCTTAGGTTAGACTTTTCTAACTTTGACCAGATTTGTACAAAAATCTATTCATATATACAACACCAAATTAAAAAACATTACTATTGCATACTCCTTCTATTCCAAATTCTAAGTCGTTTTACTATATATATCTAGACAAAGTGCATATCTAAACGCGTAGCAAAACATATGTACGTAGAAAAACCAAAACGGCTTCATAATTAATCGATCTAACGAAACTAATTTGATATTATAAATGTTGTTGTGGCCCTTCCGTTGAGATTTC